GGAACCTCGACGTTCAATGATTGTCATGTGCAGTCTGAGGTTTCGCGGATACGAAGGTTGAGTGAGAAATATTTTCCATGGGCTGACGTCTTTGTTCTTGTAGGCAGTTTGAGCTCCTTGTCCGAGCATGCGCGCGCTTCCATTTCGAGAGGGGTCGGAATACTGCCCTACGAACTTGATGCAGTTGGGATAACACCTTGCAGGCGATGTCGGTTGTTTTGGTTCAATTGGAAAATCTCAACTGAAGAGCAGGTGGAGATAGAAAAGCCATTCACTGCTAGTGCAGAAGATTACGGGAGGATAAACTTCCTCCTGGATTGCCCTCCTGACCCTTACCTGGCTCCCGGTTGGAGCTTGGCGGGAGGTGCTGAGCAGAAGTTGCCAACTTTCACGGCTCCGCAACCGAAGGCGCAGCCGGGATTTCAGCCTACAGGGATCGAGGGTTGTACGGCTCGCGATATTTCGTATTGGAGAGATGATAGGTACAAGTTTGCTCCATATCATTATCGCTACCAGCATGGGCTCATTCATCCGAGACTTGGGTGGCGCATGGCCAGCATCAACGAGAGGGAAGCCATGCTAGGTTTTCCTCTTGATTGCACCCTCCAGGCATGGTCCAAATCCGATCGTAAGAAGGACCAAACAGGTTGGGAGGATTGCCGGTTGAGTCTCCTCGGCAATTCAATGTCGGTTCAAGTTGTTGCTTTTCTGCTGAAGAACCTTTTGGCGCCTCGCAAACTCTGCGAAAACATGAGTCTTCAAGAGCTCCAGCGGCGATGCCAGCCGGGAGCAAGCACTCAACTCGGACCACCTTGGACCCCCCAGAATCAAAAGAAGTCGGCGGAAAACGAGGCGAATCTCATCCGCAAATTAGGGTCCCTTATGAGCACTCGAGGGACGGATGTGCTCCTACAAGCAAACACAGAACCACTTCAAACATATGATCGGCTGCGCACTTCGGTTCCAGCCAAACTCTGGTTGTGGAGAACCGTTTGTGGGTGGAAGTGGAGAACCGGACCCGGTGAGACGGGAGAGCACATCAACCGCCTTGAACTTCGGGCGGTCTTGACATCGGTAAAGTGGCGGGTCCTCAAACAAAAGTGTCGCAGGAGAAGGTTTCTGCATTTAGTGGACAGCCTTGTCTCCTTGCACATCGTAAACAAAGGTCGAAGTTCCAGCCGCAAGCTTCGCAGAATCATGAAGAGAATCAGTGCTTGGTTACTGCTGTCTGCAAATTCCTGTGTCTTGGGCTATGTGGATACAGGCCAAAATCCTGCAGATGCGCCGTCCCGGCGCAGTCAGAAGCGCAAATGGTCAGGGAAGTAGTTGCAGGAAACAGCAGAGACACACGGAAGAATCGCAGACAGCACCTCGGCAAGCTAAAGAATCTGATCATTCAGCCACGGACCCGTCAAGACCAAATTTCACATGCGAGAAGGCTCAAAGAGTCAAGATACAAAGCGAACTCGAGTGCGGCTTTCAGAATGCTTCTGAATCTGGCTTCATTCTCTTATCATTTCCTACAGCACTGATGCTTGCTTGAAAAAGCGTGTGCTTGTCGGTAAGAAGATTCCTATCATAAGGTATACACATTCTTGGCTTGCGAGTCAAGTTGAACATATGTATACACATATATAATATATATATATATATATATGTCCCCCTATACTGTAGACGTATATGTAGGATATTTAAAATGATTCTGCTAATTGGGAATCTGTAGACAAAGTACAAGTACTTGCTTCTAAACGACAACCGTTAAATTATCAATCCAAATCAACTGGTTGTTTAATCCAAAAGAATAGTAGATAAATGCACTGAGAATATTTTGAGCTTCAGACACTGACTGTCGATTGATACTTCAACGAAATTTGGGCATTTTGCGGTGTGTTAAGACTTTGGGCTGCGTTGGCTAGAAAATATATTCTCACCAATTATGGTCTGTCCTGAGCAGAATTTTGGAGAAGCTTGGCATAATAAACCTCCAGCCCTCTGTGGGCAAGCAGCTCCGCGCGGGAAACCATCGACTCGGGCATGGGCAGGTATTGGCAAGAGAACCCACAACAAAACAGACAAAAACTAGAAACAAAAGAAACAAAAACACCGACCCCATATCACAGGGCGGCTCCGAAGCTATGAGGTTGTTGTTTTGTTGTTTTTTGTTTTTGTATTTTGTTGTTGTTTGCTTTGGGGTTTGACTTGCTGGTGGGTTGACATCGTTACAGATCTTCTGGTATTGGGGCTAGACACAATATCTATCTGGGTCACCAAGAACGGAGTACAAGTGCAATTAGGCTTTGAGAATGTGTACGGGGAAAACGCAGGAACGCAGGGGTCGGGTTATAGCGCTTAACCTGCTACTGCTACTACTGCTGCTACTACTACTACTACTACTACTACTACTCCTACGACTACATCAACAACAACTACTACTACTACCACCACCACCACGACGACTACTACTACTACTACGACTGCTTCCACGACTGCAACTACTACCACTTCTACTTCTACTTCTACTTCTTCTACTTCTTCCTCTACTACTACTACTACTACTACTACTACTACTACTGCTACTCCTGCTACTGCTACTACTACTACTACTACTACTACTACTACTACTACTCCTACTCCTACTACAACTGCTACTGCAACTGCTACTGCAACTACTACTACTACTACTACTACTACTACTCCTACTCCTACTCCTACTCCTACTCCTACTCCTACTCCTACTCCTACTCCTACTCCTACTCCAACTACTACTACTACTACTACTACTA